TGTGTGTGTGAGTGTGTGTATGTATATATATATATATATATATATATATATATATATATATATATATTATATATATATATATATATATATATCTTCAATTTATGAATACCTTGAGATTTTTATATCGAAATTCAATTGAACATTTACATTCATTTACATATCGCACCTCCTTCGTGTTCTCTTCTGTGGTACACATTGAGAGATAGGTAAGCATTCTTTGTTATTAACTGTCGTTCAGGCATGACTTGTATGTCTTGGCTCGACGCGAATACCAATGTCATTGCTATAGTATGATCTAGAGGCCTTTATTGTTCCTTCATAGCCAGATCATATGTTTGCACTCACCTTCAACGTGAAAGTTTAATGGTTACTACACACTACACTTCCGTCGGGGAGTTATATTTATTTCAACGTATTTGTTATATACAGGCTGTACCGGTGGTGATTATGCGGACATGTGTATTTAAGCGCAGTTCCAAAACAATGGTAGCCCGCAACACCTTTCGCATTGCGTTTAGCACGCAAAGGAGATATAATAGTTCTGTGTGGCTCTTGAATAACGTATTGCGATGCTTTCCCCTCAGAGAGTACAACGCATATATAAAGTTATGATCCATAATCACGGTGTTCGTATCGTATGGACTGGCCATATTAGACTATCAGCAAACTTGCATTTCAACACTCCGTCATTGTATACAAAACTTAGTAGTAATATTGACTCATCTTATTCATCTCGGATATATTCCAACACTCCAGCATTGTATACAAAACTTAATAGTAGTATTGACTCATCTTGTCTAATCTCAGATATGAAGACACCGCATCTACGGATCGGCCTGCGCCAGAGCTCAACTCCATGCACGCTTACTTTCTCAAGCCAGGAAATGCTTCGGTATGGATTATTCGAACCCGATTTCACTTGAGGTTATATATGCACATACACTTGTATGTGTCTATATACATATGCACGCATACTTTCTTAGCCAGGAAATGCTTCGGTATGAACTGTCCGAACCCGGTTTATCTTTGGGTTGTTCTACGGTTTATGCACATGTATAAACATGTGCGCGCAGTTTTTCGATGTGAATTGTGAAGATCGTGTGCAAGCCTAGTTCCCCCTCAGCACTCCCTTTGTCATCTGGGCTAGGCCCAGCGTTCGGTGGCCTCCAATAAGCACACGCAGTTGCAATGCTCGCTCGTGGATGTGTTCGTTATTGATTCGCTTGTCTTGGGGAACTACTCCTATGTCTTATCTACTATCTCCATTTGAAATATAACTTGTGGTTCTCCATGACTCAGCAGTACCATATCGGTGTAGATACCTTGTTCTGCGCACACTCCACAGTCGCATTGCATGACTCATATATGACTCATTGGTTCTCATGACTTATATATGACTCATTGGTGCTCATGACTCATGTGTGACACATTGGTGCTCATGACTCATGTGTGACTCATACGTTACCCCTACCTCGTGTGCTGCAGATGCCTGTGCTGTTCACTGTGACCACTCTGCTGGCGGGGCGTAGTTTCCAGTCGTACTCTGTCATTGCCAGTCAGAACGGCGTACCCGTTCTACATCTGCAGGTATTGTAACGTTTTACATCTGCAGGTATTGTGATGTTTTACATCTGCAGGTATTGTAACGTTCTACATCTGCAGGTATTATAACGTTTTATATCTGCGTGATATGAACCCCCCACAGTATGTATTTGCATTTCAAGTTACCTCAAAGTTACCGCGTTCTATTCCTGATTCTAGTAGAAGATATCGCAAAGTCGACAGTGATGCGTTAAACGTTTAATCTGTGACTTGTTACTTGAACAACAACTAAAAACCTATAATACACGAAGGTTGTGACTATAGAAATACGAGGGACTGATGTCACTGTCCATTTCCTACCAAGTGTTCCTAAACAGAAATCCAAAATACACGAAGGTTGTGACTATAGAACTACGAGGAACTGATGTCACTGGCCATTTCCTACCACGCACA